TATGTACATATGTAGAACGTTAATCTGGGGATAATAAGCAATGACATCTACTCGTACGATAACTACCATGGATACGGGTGGCTGAGCTATTCGCGTACCTCAAGACAGACGCTTCTGGTTTATCTGGAGAAAGACGATTATCATTTTATCTCTATATACGTGTAGTTACACGTTGTAATACGTATGAAATATCAGAGCTTGGACCAGCCGATCCCCGTAAAGAAACGTAGTGGACATACCTACTACACTTACACTTAAAGAAGTACTAACGGAGTTATCGGGATCGGTTGCGGTTAATTATGGGGGTCAATTCACAAGTCTTTTAGATTTTCTCGAGCTTCTAAGCTCCAAGAAGATTGGCGCGCGAGGTCTTCCGTTACATCGCCATCGACGCTTATTTCTATCGTGAAATTACATTGTGGCATTCGTCCAATTTAACACTCTGAGCCTCAGGAGATTTGAGATTTTTTAAAGCTTGACCGCTTCTTCTGGCCTGGCCATCTGGTCATTTGATCAAATTTTTCTTCTTCTTCTTCTCAACACCATAACTAAAATCGTATAATATTTTGGTGTAAGTAGCTCGTAATCATAATAATAATAATAAACGGCCGATTCAATATCTCGGAGCCGACGACACTTTTGTCCATCCCCCCGAGTGTAGGTACATCTTACATACATGTACCTAATCTACTACCTACCATAGCGGCAAAGGGTGGTTTTGAGAAACGGTTATTCATACTTATAATTATTTACCTGAAAAACATCGTTTTTGTCTAAATTATTATGTTTTTATAAAAAATCATTTTTGGGTAAAAAATCGTTTCCGAACTTAAAATTAAGATTTTTTTTTAATTAGATAAAATATATAATACTAAATAATAAAATGTTCTCGCGTGCATGTGTTAAACCCCAATTGGCCTAGTAGTAAAACCCGCAACCTGTAAATTCTGTAAATTCCGTAAATTCCGTGACATGTTCAAAGTCTACTGTTCGAATCAGCTCGGGTGTAAAAAAAAAAAAAAATAATAAAAAAAAAGAATTGAAAATTTTGTTTTTTTTTGAGAAACGATTATTCGTCGAGACATAATTCTCTGAGAAATAACGTTGCCTCTCTAATGAATAATGCATATGGGAGGTACGGTACTCGGTCGAGGAATCGTTTCTCAAAACCACCCTTTGCCGCTATGGTACCTATGCCCACTTACATTATAGTTGGGCGAGGCTCATGTAGGTAGATCGGGGCACATTAGCAGCTCAACACACCAGGCCAATGACAGCCGTACACGACGGCTGACTCTTGTTTCATCACCTGCGGGTTGAAAGCGTTAAATGCTATTCACCTGAGCTCAATCTACTGCTATTCGCCAGGCCGGATTAGATAGGTGAGGGAGATCTCGGTAGCTTTCCTTGCCCGACAGGGTGTGTCGTAGTCGCAATAGGAATCAGGAATCGAAGTAGGATTAAATGTTCCGGACTATGGGGTCCGAAAAGAAGGGGATCGCCCAATGGTAATCCACACCATCACCGAACCGCCAACGGAGGTTACAACAACCTTCAAAATCGGGTAACAATTAGACCGAAACTTGGTTGTTCGATTCTTTTAAACACAACACAACACAACATATTGAAGCACGGCATTGTGGCTTGTTTCGACTTTCTTATTATTGATGACGTATAATCGGTATATGAATCTCTCTATTCGAGACGACGCCACCTGTCAATCGAGATCTCTATTATCGTAGGAGTAGGAGTAGAAGTAGGAGTAATGACCGGGTTAAGCCACCGGTTAGATATGACGAGACATTGACTTATACGGACCGATCCTAAAACAAAAGCAACCATCTACCTTATAATCTCTGATATCGTTATCGCTACTGACCAGCCGGAGATGAAGATATTGGCTAGAGACAATTGCGAAAGAGGCTGTCACATCTTGTCTGCTTTTAGGGCAGAACTCTTACCTGGCCGAAGAGGTTGCACGATGGTAGACTCACATTTACGGACAAAAGCTCAGCCTGGTTTAGCTCGCCCTTCTGATTTCCCATGCAGTGGCGAGCAGCAGCAGCAGCAGCAGTAACAGCAGCATGCACCGTAGAAAATCAAGACATGCAGTTTCATTCACCCTACCTTCCTACCAGTCTACCAGTCTACCAACCTACCTTAGGTACCTACATTAAGTCCACAAAGTCGAGTAAGCAAACGCCTCCGAGACAAGAATGCACACACGCGATCGACGAATCCCACGCTCACGATAGCACGCACGTTTCTAGCACGTTGACGCTCCGGAAGGGAGGGGGACGTCAGATTGGCTTGACGGACCCTGCCTAATATACTCCAATGCGTGGGAGCGTGTAACCCGGTTGCCACAAGCTGTGACAAAGATGCCGATGCGAGGCCCCGTTTTCGGTAGTCGAGGGGGGAGAGAGTAAAAAGTTGCTCAACCCGGCCCTGAGAGTACTACTATTCGCTAGATCCGGAGAACCCCTCCTCTCCTCCTATTCTGGCCCTGCATGCATACCTCGATTCTTAAACTCGACTGAGGCTAGTGTAAGGTACTTTATTCACACCATCCCCCCCCTCTCTCTCCCCCCCGCCTAATCCACGAGGCCCTGCTTTTTTGAAAGAGGTTGCGTCTTAGATCTCTCATTCGCCAGCCTTTATCATTTATGCCTCGCGTACCTGAATCTTAGTTAGAAGCCCTACGAGGGAAATAGTACTAACGCGCCTCCCCAAAGTAGGTAGGTAGGTGAAGAAAGGCTTTGCAGCCCAGGTCTTGTCTCAAAGACTGAAAAAAGGAAGGGCCGCGAACACCTGGCGCCTCGTGGGCCGTGTTTCTCATTATCTCGGCGTCGAAGTGGCCCTGGGCCGAGCTTAACCACACTTTGAACATCATGCACCATGTATGTAGTGTATGTAAGTAATCAGTAAATCGTAAATCGTGGGATGTGATGGGGCTAAGATGGGGCCAAGTTGGGGGGAGAGAGGTCTTCAAATTCCGTACTAGGAAATTCCTGACGGGTCTAGGCAAAGAAAGTGTACCTTTGATACCGTACGGATTTCTTCGTAGAACCTAGCTTTTTTCGCGGTCGTGGGTCTGACCATGAAAATACAACCCTTGCTAGGTTCTCTATTATCCGAGGGCGCCAACTCTAAGACTAAGCTATCCCCCCCCTGTCTTATCTAGGATCAATGTTAGTGTACATACGTACATACGTACATACATAGAGAGGTATCATGAGGTGCAGCTACAGTAGCTCTTCTGCGCGGCGGCGATCGTCTGCAAGCCAAAAAAACCCAAGGTCCCAACCGTCTTTAATAAGGTCGAGGTGCTGCAGTAGTAGATCCATTATGAAGGAATCTTCTAAATAAGTCCTTCGGGAACCTCCATATCGACCAGCAATGGGCCTCTTTTTTTGCCTGTTTTCCAGCCTCATCGACTTATCATCCTCTAGCCCTTGTCGATCTCTGTGATGGGCCTAGTATATATTAGATTTCGAAATACATATCCACACACATGTTCTCGAAACAACCCGCGCGAAAAAAACATACCTGGACTTACATATAGCTTCCCCTTGTTGAAAAAGCAGGCTCGCACTTACAACTATACCACACCTACGTTATATGTACGCCGCACCAAGATCCACTCCCCTCTTAATTACAACCGCACACCCTCTTCGGCGTGCGCTGTCCACATTTCTCTACGGCATGGTGTGTTACTAACCCTTGTAAATCCGGTCTATGTAGGTGAATGTCTCCTCGCCTCCACGCAAGTGGGAATATCAAGATCTCTTGCCCCCCTCTCTTCAGTCATTTCTCCCTAGCGTAGATTTCCCTCTGCGCACGGCTCCGTTTCGACCAGCAGCAAAATAAATCACCCTGGGTATAGAGCTTGCGCTCTTATACATATGGGTGGAATACCGTAATTTCGTATTTCGCCAGTCCTTTGTTTCAAGTTTTGGTCTCCAGCGGGGATTCCCTTCCCCTTCTTGCATGAAGAGAGACCAACTTACTGTAAACTGAATATCAAGTTTATTCTTCCCTGTTCCGCCGCCCCTCAAACTCCAACAGGATATTGAGTGAGAAGCGCTCACTAAGTGTTAGTTAATTTCTTCTTATCTGTTTCCTCTAACAATCCAGCTGCCGTTTTCTTTGTCTTAATTTGGCTCAAATTCATGCTACGAATACTTCATAACAGCCAGGCGGGCCAATGGCTGAATGTGACTTCTCATCGATTATTTACGTGGTGAACGCGGTGATGAGCTTTGATGGATATTCGTCTAGCCGAGCTGAGACTGATGATTGGAGACGCTCGCTATGATATTTTTTACGGTCTTTCTTTTACTGGGCTTACCTGGTGTAGCTCGAACTTCACGATTAGATGCTCGTCAGAATGGCCCAAGTGGGAACTCCTCGGTAGTTTTGCCATCGCCAAGTCTGAGCAGCCAGAAGGGTTCGTTCAAGGCAGACGGTGTTGATTTCCGTGATACTCAAATCTTTGCGAACCGGTTTGCTAACTTCTTCGTACAGAACCTCTGGCACCTTCACTGGTAGCCACTTCGTTACGGGTTACCACTCCGTTGAGCATCACGAAGCAGGAGCGTGGCCCACAAGGCCTTGACGGTATCGGTCCTCCGGGTCCGCCACCGCCCGCTCCTGGAAATCCGACTCCTCGAGTGGAATTATCGCCACCGCCAGAAAATCCTGCTAACCCAGTAGTGACATCGACTATTGTTGATGTTGAAACTGTGGTTGGCACAACAATATTTACTCTCGCTTCACCAACTATACCAACTACTGTAGCTTTGCCCGAAACTCCATCGGCTCAGCTCACGACTATCATTACGACAAATTCTCGGTCGGCGGGATTACCCTCACCGACCACTTTCCTTACCTCTAAAATCACATCTAGTGTTACCAGCTTAACACCGAGTGAAAACTCTAAAACTACAGCTATTGTACCAAATTCTAACCCTGTTTCCTCACCTACCGGAACAGCCACGATGACCAGTTCTACTCCGACTTCCAGCAGTGTTAGCTCGAATGATAACGGAAGTGGAAGTTCAACATTAACTATCGTCCTTAGTACGGTTTTGAGCGTCGCAGGTGTGGTTTTGATTGCAGTGGCGGCTTATTTATGCACAGGGGATCGGCGGAGAAGATTACCAATGTTTAACAGAGGCATTACCCCGATCGGTGACGATGAGATAGCAACGTGGAAGTCGAATCGATCAGCAGAGAAGGTTAATAGGTATACGACTCGGCCGGTTCACTCGCAGAACGGATCGACATCAACGTCCACCAGAAGAGCCCCAAGCTTAATCCAATATCAAAACGGCGCTAGGCCGTCTCTCGAAGTAATATCACCCAGATCGTTTATCGGCGACAAGAATAGCTTTGACCTACAGCAAATTCCTGGGGCTGTGTTAGCACGGGCACCGAATGCACGATCTGGTCTGACGGACGAGGCGGTTCCCGGAGACGACCCATTCCTACCAGCCCCGAGACGATACCCATCAAGATTGCATAAACTACCGCCAAATTCGCCGGTCATGAACAGTCGGAAAGAATCGCGTAGCAACAGTTTAAGAAGTTTTTCTGAACCTTCATGGCGGGACAGTGCAGTAGAAACATCGACTCCCAGGGCCTCGAATGAAGGCTACGCACGAAGCCATCGTATCTACTCGAATTCACCACTTCCGCCGCCGCCGAGATTATCTTATGGCGAAAATGACCAATTTACGGGCTTATCACCGCCTCCGTCACGGCGGAATGAAAGCACAATCGGATTGGCTGTCGGTTGAGAATTATGATCTGCCGTCTGTTTCGACACCCAAGTTCTTCATCCCTGTAGTTTGTAGGTACATCCGAATTTTGAGGATTTACCACGGGGGGGAGGGGGGTGTATCTAGACGTACTTCGTCTGTTTCAGCCCTCGAACATGCCTTAGGGGAATTAAAAAGGACCGGCTCGACTATCCTTGCGCATCGCCGAAGAAACAACACCATCATATAATCATATACGTGGATCTTCGACGGAACAAAACTGAAAACTGAACAAAGAGAATTATGCGCTCTCATCGTTCGGGTTGCTTTTAGAGTCAGCCTCGCTTTGGAAACTGCATATTAGTTAGCCAATAGCAGGCCTCTTTACCTCACCTATCAGCTTCGCACCCCTTTTCGATGCATCAACATGATGCCATTTTTATTTATTTATCCCGATTTCTTGCCTTCGTGGCGCAACGCCGACAGCAACAATATATCTTTTTTAATTGCATTAATTTGTTTTCTTCATTAGGAGTTTTTGGAAACGTCAAGACGCGAGAAACGCGAGACACGGAGGATATACCCCAGATTTTTTTTTGTTTTACCCTGGAAAGCTTATTGATGAAGCGTTATGGCATCCCCTTAAGAGGGATTTGACAAGATATTTGACAAGATGGCATTTCTGCATTGGGCATGGGAGCAATATCTTGATGGTTTATCATTATGTCATTGAAGATATGACGACGTCGCATTATGAGAAGCTCAAGTACAGCAGGGCGACAAGGCAGAAATAGCTCCTATTGTTGCCGGGAACTCATTTAACCCACTAGGGAAATGAGCCTTTAGGGGCTTGAGCAGAGGAGGTTATAGGGGGAGTATACCTAGTGAGGGTATACCTACCAAATCCTCAATTCTCTAGTGACTTTTTAAATTCAGACTGTAGGTAAAACTACACTTGTAGTTGGCTTGAAGCCTGCTACTATTCAATTATAAAATTTAATTGAAACAAAGTAAAACATTATCCCTACCATCATGTCTAGTATGTACTACCTAGCTGGGTGATACTAAAGATTATGACGTTATAAATATCTTAGCTTCAATTGGTGGTGGTCTTTCGTCTTTACTAGCCTTAAGTTTTCGTGGTTGTGAAATTACAGTTAATGCTAGGCTCGGTTCGAATTTCCGTCCGTCCGGAATCTGCGAAATGAAACGCATGCCGAATTACAACATTGCAGAAAGGGAGGATGGGGCCGTTACGGAGCGGCCACAACTAGGGGTATCCCGGGGATCTCGTGGATCAGTGATCGCGATCATCGACACTCGTGTCTGCCACGTTTTATTACCATGTTCATCAATATTCGTGATTCATGCGTGTGATATTCGTTGTTGTGCGTAATCCTGTTTGTGACTACCGTTAACCCTGCAGCCGATCAAACATTCTTCCCCAGGGCGGGTTGCTTAAGTGGGCATGTTTTATGCGGCATATTCCGCTGCCGTTCCGCGTTGCTTTGCCTTCCGGCGGCGTGTTGGTGATTGATATTGATATCTATGTCTTATTATACGATACCATCTTACTCATTTCTTATATGGCACGTAGAGTTGCCGAATGTTGTTTTGGGTGTGCAGTTAAAATCCCGAAATATGTATGACTAAGTCTCATCATAAGCTGGTTCATTTGATAAGAAGAATGAACCTCATTGGGTTGGTCGGAAAATTCAAGTGTTTTAAGGGGGTTGGATTGAACTTATCTAATTGATAGCTTCCATTGTTAAGCCTGGAATCTTGAAGCGATCCGGTAGTTTGAGGTGTAGGTGGTGTAGATAGAGTGGTTTAAATGCTACGGTCCAAGACTTAGGCCTGCCTTAACTAATTTACCTAGTAGAGGGTATTGCTTTGATGTTATTCATGGTGTGGAATAGTTATTGAATATATAACAAAAAAAGAAAAAGGCTGTTTAAAGGTTTGTAATAAAACTAAAGTTAAGAAAACTACAAAAAAAAACTCGAAATTACAATAATGGTTAGTTAGTTAGTAGAAGGAGGAAAGAATAAAAGAAGCAACTTAGCAGTTAATTAGCAGTTAATTAGCTAAGGTTACTAAAGAATAAAGCTCTTTCCTAACTTTATTAATTTAGAAAGCTCTTTACGCGTCTGGGGCGCGTCAAAACGTGGGGCACGCGCTACTAGTCAAATAATCTTATGCATTCTACCTTCTCCATCCTTCACTTGTACAATATAATCAATTAAGTTAATCAAATCAACTAAATCAGCCACAACTTTTTATTCTACATCATTAAGTACAGACTCTACCTCTAATAGTAGCTTTTGTAATAATTAGGGACGTACTCCCGCGACAAGGCTTTTGTATCCCAATTGCACGGTTCCTCGGTGCCACTAATTTTACACTATGCCGCCCCGTAAAACTGACAATGCTCGACAGAGCAACTTATCTATGGCCCAGTTTGTCTATGATGGTTCTGATGCCGATGTCGATACTTCTTCTACTTCCCTCCGCCCTATTATTTCTGTTCCTGCGCGATCTAAGCCTGTACAGCCCCAACCTACGCCCTCGATAGAGATGGATATCCCACGACCTGCGGAGGCTGCTGCATCGCCTACGGAGAAAGACAAAGAAAGAAAAGATAGTACTTCTAAGGACAATGTAACTATCGAGGTACGAGAGGAAATATATACGAAAAAATAATTTGATCGTGTGAATTGTGACTAAGGACTCGATTTTATTATAGGATGTCACCCTTCCGAAGTCAATAATAATGCGCCTCGCCAAGGGTGTCTTGCCTCCGAATACTCAGATCCAAGCGAATGCTATCCTGGCCATGAGCAAGAGTGCTACTGTATTCATTAGCCACCTTGCCAATGCGTACGTTCCTACATAAAAACTAAAGCTTTGGGGAAGGGTTTATACCAGATATCTAACTCGGTAATAGAGCAAACGAGCATACACAAAGCTCTAACAAGAAGACTATCATGCCTGCTGATGTCTTCACCGCGCTCGATGATATCGAATTCCCTTTCTTCCGCGAAAGACTCGAGGCTGAATTCAAGAGTACGCATCAATCACTGTCTTGCTTATCTTATGCGACACAAACCACTAATAACTTATTCAAACTCTAGAGTTTAACGAGACCCAGACGACAAAACGCAATACTTATCGTAGAAAGGTAGCTGCTGCGAAGAAGGCTGAGAAGGCTGGCGTAGATCCCAATTCCTCTATGATGTCGGCTACCTCTACCGCAGCTGCGAGTCAGCCGGATTCATCAGGGCCACGCGCCCTGAAGAAACAGAAGCCCAATGCGCCTGATGACTCGGCTATGGACGTAGATATTGGTGACGAGCCACACGAACATAGCGATGCTGAGACGGAACCGGAGCCAGAACAAGAAGACGAGGAAGAGGATGAGAACGAGGGCGGCGAAGAGGAGGAAGAGGAAGAGGAAGAAGATGAGGAGGAGGAGGGGAATGACCCTGACCGCCTAGAGGACCGCGAACATCGTGATGATCACGACGACGCTCTTGATGACGGAGACAGTGACTGAAGTAACGGCGCAACCCAAAGCTACCAGAAGTGCATTTGATCACACCGAACCACGCGCGTGCTAAGAGATGTCCAATCTATCGTTAAATAGGGGAGACCACCTAGAGGACTGACCTTGGAGTGGATATCACCGCGCAGAGAACTAGGGTATACCGACTTCCCACATCGCATGTATATTAGGGTTTGAGCAGGAAAACACCAAGAAAGATTTCATGCTCTCCAGGTTCAGCACACCGGTCCCTTAACACGAGCATCAGTCACATCACGTATGCCTGCCTGCCTGCCTGCCTGCTTGCCCCTATTCTCAACTTGCAGTATAGTTCGATATTCATTACCAATCGGACGAGATAATTGATACGGGCGGTTTCTAATTCTTATTATCTAATACCGTTGTAATGATTGGCGTGAAGAAAAAAAAATTTGTTTATCCGTGATTGCATCTGCGCTTGTTGTGTTTATATTTAAGGAGTTGATGCCTTACCTGTCACCGTTGCAGCGGCGTGACTGTTACATACATACATACATTAGGTACCTACTTACCTGCTTACCTACATTATGTAGGTATATTATATATACCTTAAGTAGGTATATATGTGCTTATGTTACCTTCCCAGTGTCCATGCCAAGCGTTTTGGTTTTGTAGATATATATTTACCTTAGGTACGTAATTAAGGTATTGTATATCTTGGCATTGTCTTAAGACAGGACAGGGTAGGGTCGCTCTAGTAATGTTTAGGATGAGATGATATGAGATTAGATGATATGGTGATAATTTGTCTGCTCGAACCCTCACAGCAGTAGAAAATATGTAGGGCAGATTACTTGTGTATCCCTGTGCATATAGATAGATACTTGAGCTCATTTACCAAACCAGTTATCTGTTCTCCATGTGCATACCTACCTAGGTAGGTATGTATGTACTGGTTACCGGCACCTCTACAGTCATGGATAAGCCCCAATAGTCATCCTAGACCCGACAGCCTCGCATGGCTATAGCCACGTATGTAACACACCAATACATCGAACTAAAACCTTCCCCTCCCCTTCCCTCCCTTCCCTTTCGTAGATACTATGTACTATATGTAGATAAATAACATCATCACGCGCCATCGAAACGCCAAAACGGCTTACGCGTCCCGCACCGCGCGGTGCCCTCCGTCTCACTACGGAACGACCCACCGCCGAGGGCATTTACTCCGTAGTCCGCCCTATTTCGGGTGATACCATCGCGGACTGCTCTCCGGCCGCGGTGTCGTATAAGGTGCGAGGACGCCACCAGGAAGAAGTAAGACAGTACGAAGATGATGTTCGTACATCACACACGGAATACAAGTGCGACACAGTAAAACAATAGCCATCGATGCAATGCAATGTAATGTTCTCACGTGGGACGCCGAGGTAAGTATTACAGGGTATTAGTTTGTTGTATAACATATGTACGTAAGACTTCCAACTCGGCCAATCCTCTCCTGACTGATTGACCGACCGACCGCACCAGGCTCCCTTCGGGCAGCTGGTCTACCTAGGGTTATATAGCAACATCTTGATTAGCATAGCAGTCTGCCAAATAAGCAAGTATAGCCCCGAGGCGTCCTTAGTTAGTTCCTCATTGTACAGTCCGTAACGCCGAAAAATGCCGAAAAACAAAACCACTCTCGACTCCGTCGCTCATGCAATCGGACGTATGAATCTCAGGTCGTACAGTGGATCTCAAACATTGTTCTACCGTCGTAGTCGTATTATATATAACCCCCTTACAATAGGCCTTTCTTATCCCCTTCATCCCCTTCGTCCCCCTCATCCCCTTTATACCGTTAGATAGTCCCGCATCATCATGAAGTCTCAAGGTCCGCTGTTAGATGAGCTAGGACCAAACTCTCTTTCTAGAGTGTCAAATAGGAAAGTGCTAGGTAAGGCTGATTCGGATTCCGCTCGTGCTCGACTGACAGATTCTCTGATATGAGCCCTCCTTGCAGACTCTTGCGCTGCCTGCATGCTAGTAGGGGGAAGTAATCGGTTACTCGTGTTGAATTCCCTATCTATATACGCCGGAAATGGAACCGTAGCATTATCGCCTGATGTAGTCAGTATCATCTCGCCGAGCGGCGCGATCCCATCCTTTTTCGTTTCTGTAACTTGAATTGAAGGCAAATCTTCAGGCCCATATTCCTAATAAAAGCCATCTCCACCCGCACTTCCCCTACTTCCCGAAAAAGGATGTGGTGTACTTTGAGCCGAGTTGCTGCTGGTGTCACTTGGAGTCGGTGGCTCGACGACTTGGTTGCGGATACACATGATCCATTCGTGTTGAAGTAGTTCGACAGCGCTTGCTCTTCTTTTCGGGTCTCTGACAAAGCACTTGTTCAAGAAGTCGATTCCTTGCGCGCTCAACTGATCTATATTTGGAAGCTGCGGGGGATTACCTTGAGCAATGTTATACATAATTGCCCACTCATTATCCAGATTTGACCACGGCCGGCGGCCCGTGACCATTTCGAGAATTACGCATCCAAGCGACCACACGTCTACGGCTCCAGCGCGCCCTGGATTCTCACCCTTGATAACTTCGGGAGACATATACATGGGCGTGCCTGTCATTGACTTATTAGGTTTCGTGGCAGATAAACCGTGTACGAGAGTGCGTCCTTGTCGTGCAATAACCTTGGCAGCGCCAAAGTCGACGTATTTAATGACGCCATTGTGGTCAAGCAGGATATCTGGATGCTATTTAGTATGGGGTTGTTTGGAGGGTAATGAAGAGGAGGGGGGAACTTACTCTCTGGTTTGATGTCACGATGAGCGATGCCACTTTCATGAAGGTAAGCGAGACCTTCAAGAAGCTGCAGTGCATAAACCATGACAACTTGCTCATCCTCGATACGACCATGCTCCAATAGAGCAGCCAGCGAACCACCGGAGCAAAACTCCATAAAAATATAGACCCTGTCGCGATGCACTTCGATACCGTGGTAGGAGACTACGTTGGGATGGTTGAGAACTTCCAAAACACCCATCTCGTCTTTGATTTGTGTTGCGATTTGCGGTATCAATTTGGGGTCTTGCAGTCTGATCTCTTTAACAGCCATCAAATGACCAGTATCTAAATTCATAGCAGCGTAGACGTTACCAAACGTACCACCACCAACGAAATGTCCTTGTTGCCACCTCATCGTAACATTCGTAGCAGAGGATGACAAGTACGCCAGCGACCGATCGACTTCGTTAGAAACCTCAAGCACCCGTCCGATTCCTTGTCTTTCTTCGATATTGCGTCTCTGTATTTCGTCGATTTGAGCGAGTTGAATTAGACGTTGCTCTTGTTTATATTTGATGGCTTCCTCATCATCAAGCATACGGTTCTTGTCGAACCTCTTGAATTGTCCAATGAGAGTCTCGATACGCTCGCGCTCTAGTTGTGCGGCTTGATTAGACTTGGCACCTAGAATATCAAAATGCGAAATGAGAAGCGACATGCACCCCGATACCTTGGCGCGTAATTTTACGTATTCGTCATCGCCAAGTCCTAAAATTTGTCGACCTCTTGTCATGCCCATTGCAAACTCTAACGCAGGTACAGCCCAGCGGAAAGACTTGCGATCGGTAACTTTGCAATCATCGCATATGAAGCTAACCCAGTCCAAACTAAGCTTGGTGAGCTTTATGTTGTTCATTTGCCGCCGGTTACTGTCCAAATATAGGAGTGATCTCTGGCCGAACTCCGTAGCAAAGACGAAGCATGTCTGGATTAGATCTTGGCAGTCGAACCCCTTCGTTTGCTTTCGGATGATCTCAACACTGTCCATGAATGTGTTGGAAAGTTTGAAGCCAACCTTTCGAATTTCGAATAGTCTAGTATTGACTTTGTGGAGATTTGAGCGCGCTTCCACAATGAGATCGAGATGCATATCGATTGTTTCTAGGAAGAGTTTCCTCGCGTTCGCTAGCCGATCTTGAGATCCATCTGCGATTAGACGTATTTGGCCGAGCTTAAGATCAGGTGACTCAATATTGAGAGACTGAGGACGCCGATTGCCAAACCAATGCAATGGAGCCTCCGGACGGAGTATCAATACGTAAGGGTCCGTGGGGTCTTCTGAAATCCTCTCGTGGAAGCAAGTTCGTAGTATTAATTGAACCTCATGGTCACGACCTATGAGAGCTGGCGATGCTATAATTTGAATGCCATCTACTTCATCGACGAGGAAGTGTCCGGTGACCGAAAGTCGTTCGTACAGAGACCTCAAGCCCTCGGCGCCAAGGGCAATACTCATGTCTGACGCGTTCTCATAATGTTCGCTCAACATCCGCGAGAACCGCTGTAACATTCTCTGTCTAACCCGTACTGTATCCAACATTTGCGTGTATCTCTTGCTCATATCGTCTGGGCTCTCCTTAGGCTTTCTCTGAAGCTCACGCTCAAATGTTTGACTTAGGCGGTTTAGAGCTTTGTATGTGAGGTTACTAAATTGCTCGGCGACTTCTATGTCACCTCCAACAAGGTGCTGACCAATTTCATTAGCGAAATCCCATTCTTGGAACAGGACTTCGGCCTCCTTAAAGGTGTTCTTATTTCTACTAAGCTTCCAGTTCAACATCTTGAAGTAATATTTTAGGGCATCGAGTACAACCTGATCAAATGATTCATCAATACATGGCGGTAGGTTCCATCCGGGCTGGGGCTGAGACACCATGAGATTCTCCTGCTTGATACGGATTGCAAGCTTTAGTAAGATCTCAAATTGCGATATCATCTGGTCTTGAAGAATAGGGGTTTGCTGTGTGGTCTCTTTCATTTTCCTGGCATAGGCTACTCTGACCTTGATAATCTCCTCGATCAACCGCGAGGGAAAGCTGATAAGGGTAAGTAGCTCCTCGATATAAGGAGGGAGGTGTCGTTTATGGAAGGCCGCAGAGTTCATAATGAGGGTTTCTTTAGCCTTGGCAATAGTGGTTGAGATCGGCGTCAGCATGCTCCTTCGGATGAGCGACTTCGTCTTTAGAGCGTGTTCCTGCGTTGCGGTCTCGTCATCTTCGTGCAACGACCTTAGGCCGTCCTCTTTCAAAAGACGGTCTAGAAATGAAGTTTCGTCGCTCAAACCATTGGTACTCGGCGACCTCTGCTTCGTCCTCTGGAAATCGAGGTCCTCATTACCTACCCATTTCTTGAGAATTGATAATTCGGTATTGATCATTTCATTGGTATTATACCAAGACATGACAACATCGTAGACTTCCTGAAACGACTGAGACGTGACTTGCTGGTGCGCGATCCCCATCGATTGCCACGAGGGATATAGACCCTCACACTTTTCTATCTTCTTAACGATGTCTCGGACCTGCTCGATGGCAGGTTTACCAGCAGCAGTCTCACCTTGTACTTCGAACCGAGTGATCTCGTCAATAGTTCGGTCAAGGTTCCCTCGTGCCTCTTCGATTATTCTCCGCTGGACAGCAAGGGACCGGCCTGTCATCTTTGACCTGATTCCGAGCCACAATTCACTCTTGTAGGTAGACTTTCCACCTGATAACTCAGAAGTACCAATAAGCCGCTTTTTCTCTTGTTTTACAACATCACCGGTCAAAACTGCTGCTAACATGCCGTGCCACTCTAGCCGCTCGCGGTTCACTGGATCCTTGATATCATCTTCGGTAGGCTGCGTGTCGTCGATCAAATTCTGGAACATTATAGTCTCGTCGTTAGGGAAGCGGTCATCGAAGACACCTTCCGAAGAGGGAGTCTCGCCCTCAGACTCTTCATCAGAATAGTCGACGCTAGGGGTGTAAGGATCAAAATATCCATTAGGAGTACGGTCTTGGCGCATCATGCGCAGATAGGCGGGCTCTTGATCGCGGAACTTGTCGGCAGGATCTCGTCGGCGTGATCCAGACCGTGTAGAAGTAGAGATGAAGCCGGGTTGTAAGGGAGGTCCTCTTTGGGGAGCATAAGTACTGGAGGGAGTGCGCGTCACATGGGGTCTTTGTTGTTGTTGTTGCTGTTGTCGGTTACCGACACCATTCGCGACATTATTAGCGCTCACTTCGGCCGCAGAACCTCGTGGTCTCCCGACATTGTTGGCAACCGAATTCGGGGCCAGCGATGCCATAGAACTCGTAATACTGCCATCTCCGTATGGGGCAAGAGACCCCAATTCGTCCTGGCGCTCGTGCTCGTGCAGATCGGGTGTATAATCTTCGGATGAGCCCGAGCCGTCGGAATCGGTGGAAATGGCGACAGGCCGTTGAGATTTAGACTTGTCTTGTGCCAGATCGACTTCGCTCTGAGAGAATCGAACGGCGCGTGGCGATGTTTCGGCGGACATATCGAGAATTGACGAATGCCACTCGCTGGAACCAAATCCAGAAGCACAAAGGTTTAGTCAGTTTGTCATCCGGAGATATTGGCACTGGGAGCCAAGGGAGATTAGAGGATTAGAGGTTTAGAATATGGGAAATGTATGTATTAAAAAGCGACAATAGGGTTGTAATTTGGTTTAGTCGCAGTTCAAAAACAAGACGCCAAGCAAGTCAGCTGGCAGCTATTCACGATAGACCAGGCCGGGGTCATCCATGAGGGAAAAACCCGAAAAAACCCTTGAAATTGCAAGTGGACGAAAGTGGACAAAAAACTTCTTGACTCGGGCGCTGCAGGTTCCCACTCAGTCGGGCACCTTTTAGTCGACTCTACTGATTTATTCGAAGAGTACCAAATTGATCGATCCGATGAGATGACGAAAACCAACTTTCATACAATGGGGTATTTTAGGACTAATTACTTGAAGATCAAAGTGTAGATCAAAAGTGAAGATCAAATATTAAATATTCCGAGCCTTGGAAGTAAATGGGGTTTTAGCTGCAAGATGGCGACAATGGCATCAATCGACATGTACGTATACGTAGATAGAAGTAGGTGATCAATGTAAGGTAAGGTCAGAGGAATCAGGATAATCGGTAATAATAAGTTATAATAACTCTGCCGATTCAGAAACCTGCATAAGCGACTTTTCGATACTCGAGACTAAAAAAGATGTAGCATGGAAAATGGAAAGTTGGAGTTGATTGGTTGGGCGGCGAGGGAACAACGGCGTATGGAACTTATCAGGCAGCTAACCAGAAGTAAACTACAGGTAGCTACAGGTAACTATAGGTAACACAAGCTTTGTTAGAGCCTTGGAGCTAGAGCTCCGCTGCCGTGTTACAGTAAAAGTTCAGCGGACGCGCACATTATTACATATTATTCTTACTCATTTGTAAAGAGAGAGCAATGTCTAATACGTGTCTAGTGGCAGTTTCAGAGTGTGGAAGTACAACGCCACGATTCTACTGTTATGGAAAATGATCTCCGAATTTAATATTGTTAGAATTTTGATTTCAAATTAAAGGTACTGACAGCTTCCAACTTCATAATTGAAATTGTAAATAGTAAACATCGTTAGCAGTATATCGTACAGTATTGTGTACGGGTATTATATGTATGTGTTGAATGCCGAGATAAAAGTCGGACGATAACCCATTAAAGGATTTAGCTTGCTAGAGCGCATTATCATAATTTTCTTCGAAATTGGAATGCCAAGCCTGCGATAAATAAGCAACTTATTCCATATACGGTAATTACCTAGCTAATTCAAGCTCTCGATGGCATCAGAAAACATACGCCACAGATGAGACCTTAATTTATATGTACCTAGGTACCTTTTAGGATGTACCTTCTAGGTAATGTTGTACCTGTGGCTTACGTACAGGTACAGAGCAATTGGAGATACCTCTTGGCACGCATGCTGCATGCCTGCCCGTTTGTACCCCTCATCGCGCAAAGACCGTGTAGGCCAAAAACGCGTGAAGTCATAAAAAAAAGATTTAGAAACTTGGCTCGTGCACTTTTCTCCTTTTGGCGCATTAAATGTACTTACATTAGAGTACCTTTCGATCTATCATCTATGATCGACTGGGTACATTTTGGTGTAGCCTTCATTCTACCATAATATAAACTTTATAGTGACCTCATTTTGCATCTTTTCCTTTTCCTTTTCCTTTTAAGGCCATATATACCAGTAAATGGAATCTATATGCCTTCGGGAGCTCTAGGTTCAGACGCGTCGCGTCTACCGTCCAGCAGCATTCATATGCCTTCACCCGATGCTCGACTTGACTTTAGTCATGGTAGTCCCGCGGATGGCTCCCCGAGCCTACAGCGTAAAAGGGATGTCGAAGCTATGGAAGAGCTCCTACGACCTTCAATTGTGATTAAGGTATGTCAATTCGTCTTACCACTTAATACTATCTAATATAATTGCTAAATCAATTCCAGCCACACCCTCCAAATATCTCGATTAAACCTCGTAGCCTTCAGCCTCTAATGATTCTTCCTCGCGAACATCTTCAACTCTCATTCCTCGATCTCTCTTCACCATATGGAAGTTTCGAATTCTCACGATATTTCGAGTCTAAGGTTAAAGTTCTGGAACTCGAGAGTCGCATAGGATCTCGCCCTGTTGTTCTCATTGCCCGACTAGAATCCGACAAGACCCTTTACGTATTGGAACGTCAGACAGATGGATTGTATTCTCTCTGCCAATTTGGCTCCTGGGTGGACCTTCGGGAACTTAGACGGCTTGCTACGGTTTCGTGCACCCAATTTATCGAGAAACGGACGAATACTTTTATAAATTCCAATACATCATACCCATTAACCACTCCCCACTTACACCACGAGACTAAGAAGAGGAGACTTGCGATAGAAGCCATACAATCTCTAGTAAAGAAACCTGCAAGATCTCGTTCTGTTTCAACAACATCCCAACTTATTCCACCCGTACGGCCACTTACGCCCAGCCAAGACAATGACGAGTCCCAGCCTGAGATGGCCCAGATTTCTCTAGAAAGTCTATTCACCGAAAAGCCCGAATCTCAAACTCAGAGCCAGGTTCCAAGCGCCCCTGTAGTGGACCAGTTGATGACGACGCCAACTGCGGAGGGCATATTCGATAATATTCGTAATCAGTATCTTGAATCCCTTTATCATTCAATGGTAGGCTCCTCGAGTATATTTTCCCTCGCTACTTGTCTAATATTTTCACTAGGGTTCCCTAGCATATTTTGCGAAAGGTCCTCTATCTCGCGCACGTGCTGCTTTTCATCTAGATTGTGATTCAAATCTGGATATGAATGATCTCGTGGACTTCTTGAAAAGTCTTGTTATGACAACTACACAGATCGATAAGAAGTACCGGGAAACAATTCCGGAGCTAATTTTTAAAATGAAACCCATCTTCCAAGACTCTGATGTTGAACAAGGTAATGCGAAGACTAAGAAGCGGAAGACCAGAAAGATGAAGCTTGGCAAAAACGGCCTGTATCCGATGGAGCATGAACATATTCAAAAGTGGTGGAGTGCTCGTAGGCCTGAGTTTGGGGATGATGAAGCAATGACAACAACTGAACCGCCGGAGACTAAACTTCAAGTAGCCTGGTTGCGTTCGAGGGAGACGCAATTGCAAATGATCATCATCCTCGAAATCTTAGCATTAGAACCATTAGTTCCATCTCAGAGTAACCAGGATTCACAACTACCGGGCTTACCTCTCGAAGAGTTTCCTGCTGAAGCATCCAAGGATAACTCTACGAAGAAACGTAATCGACATAACTTACCGTCTCTCGTCAACGTTCATGCGGATCGACTATGCATTTGGCAATCTACTGCGTTAGATGAGGTTAAATTGCCAGATGACACCCAGGGGAGCGCGCAGTTGGAGACGCAGAAGTCGTCGAGGGCTACATCAGACCCGTTGAAAGATTTTTGTGTCGATATCATCGTACCATTGTAAGAAAGCTCCCTTGATATACGAAAACCCATTAATTGCTAACGTTTACCAAAAGCTTCTCCGCAAGATTACCGGAAAAGTGTGATTCGATCAACCGTAAGCTAGGTGGGCCAGTCATGATGCCGCCATCAAAACCTAAGTCGAGAAACCTGGAGAACTCGGAACCGGCCGTAAAATCTAAGTCGAGATCTAGCTCCGCAACGAAGCGTCCAACGTCAAAATCATCTAAGACACTTGAGAGTGTTCTTTCTAAAGAGACCGAGAAGCATCGTCGAAGCATGTCGCGTGGCCCAAGCGGAGTGATAGCATTGATGAGATCTGCTTCCACTTCCATGTTGAAGCGAGAAGCCAGCGAGCCATTATCTATCTCGAACATTCCCAAAGCAGACTCTATTACATCTAAAGATAATACATCGCGTGCGACTACATTGGTACCCATCAAGCGAAGATCAGAGGGGGAGAGGGCAAAGAAAGACGCTTTAGTTAAGGCAGAATTGCATGATGCGATATCTGCCCTTAGACGTCCTAATAGGGATGTTATCGGCAAGGCCATGGCCGAAGCAGATGAGAGACGTGCTGTTACTAGTCTCTCACAACTAAAGAGTAAGTAGATGTTGATTCCGCTTTACTTCCCACTTCTGTATGATGTTAACCTGTCCGTAGAATCACGAAAGCCGACTCAACACAAACCCCCCGATGTGGTCAAGGCAACTCCTATGGGAAAGCGTTTCAAGGACGTACTAGGCATGAGCGCCAGCACTCAGCCAAGTCGTTCACGAAATATGGGCCCTGCCGAACCAAGTAGTACACCCTCATCTTCCTTGATTCCTTCGTCCGCGCCAAGGAAGCGCACTCACGAAGTAGCATTTACTCTCGATAAATTCCAAACCTCTCCTCGTTCGAAAGTCTCAGCAGATCAAATTCAGGCAACCCCTGCGAGACCTTCGACCCTTAGGCAGAGCTCTCTCCTTTTCCCCGAGGTCGATGAAACAGATATTCTCGCATCATCACCTATCATGGCTCGGAAAGTGTCCATGGCGTCTTTCCGCGACAGCGGAATTGAAATGCCTAGTTCTCCGCCTGGTGCGCTCGCAGAAACTCCTGTTAAGCCTCGCACCGCACCTATTCCATTAAAAAGGCTCGTGGCAGCTACACCAATTAAACGGAGGATTCTTGATAAAGATGTTGCAAATATCGCCGATAGTAGGAATTCTACTAGTGAGAATGTGAAGGAACCCGAGAGGAGGGTTTCGATTTTTGAACGGTTGGGTTGGGATGACGATTTTGACGAACTTGGTTAAGGGGTTCTCGTATGTACCGGATGATTCAACGCCACTTGTTGATGGACTTGGAGGCAAGTCGGATTTCAATGCTCACGCAAGCAGTAGCATGACTAATGACGAAAGACGAAACGATACGACCGCATTAGAGGCGTTTAGATAAAGCAGCATTTCGAAGCATTACATAGGTAGAAGAGAGCGCACAGAGCTAATGATATACTTAATGGAACCATAAACTGTTTTTTATATTATTAGGCTTGAAAGTCTAGGAATAACATAAGATATAGATATCTACTTCAAAGAGCAGTCTTGAGTGGTGTAATGCGGTTCGGGTTGGAACGCATGTATCTAAACCCGAAAACGCCTCAGCAGTTTCCAGTCAAGTTATCCCAATCTGGAAAAGAAGGTTGAAGATGGTTAGGTACTTAGATAAGTACCATTTTAGCCCCCATGTTCTAATTAGAGTCGGGTCAATAGCATACGATGGTTGTAGTGTATACTAGCCCTATAGCCATACACCAGAGAGGTTCAATACGGATAAATGATAAGAAAGGCATTTTCGGTAGGAGACTCGACTAGCATGTATGCTCGGAACGAGAATGGAATATAAAAACCGGAAGCCTCGGAAATAGTTTCTTGAATCTTGTCCTGGATAGGGCCAGTATTGAACGTAACGCCTCCTTAAGCAAGTCAAAGGGGCATTTTAGCTCAGGATAAGTTACATCCATAATGTCTATTAATCGATACGATTTCTTGGAAGTTGGGCGAACTGAGTCTAGGACTATCTTATAGAGTTCCCCGACTTGAAAAGTTCAAGTACGACGACAGCGGAGGCTCTGGGGATAGACTTCAAAGTAAGGCTACGAGGATCGACAATTATTTAACCATAACCCTATCATAATTCAGGCTGTTGACATCTCCGCATAATATGTCTTAGTAATCTAATCATTACGATTCGAGAAAAGTAGAAAGCAACCACACCGTTTTATAAAGATGTAACCTAATACATCTAGTTCCGAGCGCCTTACCATCGAGCCTTGCCGTCAAAACATGGCAGATGATATTTGATAGTTATATTATAATAACACTACACTTTTCAACAGGTTTTCCTATCAACGCCCTAGCTAAATATCTAATATAATAATATAAAGTAGTGTATATGCAGATACATGACCAGTCGTCCCTGAAGACCTCCCACGTGGTTGATCGCGAAGATCTGTATGGTTAGGTCAGACGATCTAGACTATGCGATGTAAGCACTGACTTACTGCAGGCCTATCTGTCCAATAGCCTAGGTTTATCCCAAAGGATCGTTCCGCCCTGCACGCTCTCAGCCTACGTCTCCCCATTATCGATGTGCCTGCATGCACTCACTCTAAAATAGTATATTTGTATGCACCGTTATGTGTTTCATATGTACGGACTCGACGCTTCGATAATTAGGTCATAACTTACCTCTTGAATAGGTATCCATCGCCGCATGTCTGTGCGTTTACACCAAGGAAAGGTAAAGCGGTGACGTCACTACGTATGGACGTGCTAATAGCTAGTTAGCAAACGGCTTGGCTTCCTGTATGGAGGGTACTTGCTTCGCTATAAAATAACGACAACGTTGTTCTATGCAGAACTATATAATCAAGACTAATTTATTTATCTTTTGACCATGTAATAGATATATTATTAACTAGTTCACTTGTACGAAGAGTGCAAGGAGAGGTAGGCTTACGAAGACAATGCCTAAGGATGGAAATACCACCTGAACTGCAACAGTGGTATCGGATCAGTCGAGACTTGATAGAGTAACACAATGCTGACTCCTCTCAACAGCCGCCAAGCTTGCTTTTATCAGATATCATATGCATACCTAGGTAGGTAGGTCTACATATCCCACGTGCGAATAGATGGGTAGGAAATGCGCCTCAAGTCTTATATGCAGCCAAATCCTTCAGGTCGTAGTGCGGCACTACAACACCTTACGAGTCTCCTAGGTAACTCTTCTATTTGTCTAACTTACATGACTACCTCCTACCTATCTATATTCTTACTTTATATGTAAGGCTATCCGTAGTCTACGTACTTGTCTATTAGGATTTATAGTCATGCCTGTATATTACTTCCCCATCACAAAGCATCCAGGTCCGACACTTTCTTGAATTAAGCATGGATATAACTGCAGCGAGTCTCTAAGCTGGGAGCTTACTTCTCTTTAACCCATTGAGTATACACACAACTCGCCCGGACGAAAAAGTAACTGCCTACATAAGAGATCAATGCGAAAATGGGATTTGAAATAGCCAAAGATTCTCACCAAACAGCTGCTTTTATTGTGTGCCTCATTACAGCGCCGACCTGCATCGCAGCTACTACGCTCCGCTTTATAGCCACAAGGCGAAATAGACGTAGGATTGGATGGGAAGACTGGTTTGCCCTGTTAGCTTTGATATTTTACTTAGTATATGTTGCCTTGCTACTTTATGGTGAGTTACCGTATACGATGATATCCACTACTTCTAACGCTTGTCGGTTTTTTTAGTTCTTGTCACGCTCAATGGAAGAAACCCCTTTAAGCCCGGAGCTATATCTCAGGAACAATTCTACAACATAGAAGTTGTAAGTAGGCTACCTATGTCTCCTTCTATTAATAGTTTTCAACTAATTCTGAACAATACCTTAGGCAATATACGTATTAGGTGCTCAATTCTGCCTCCAGCAGCTCTTCGCCAAGTTCAGCCTATTATTCCTATACTATCGCTTCTTCTCCCGTCGGCGTTCATTTGTCATCTGGGTCTGGATCGTCGGCATCATTCAATTGCTCTGGTCCGTCGCAACGTACCTAGTCCACTATTTTGCGTGCATACCTCCGAAGAAGTCATGGACCCCGACGGCTCCAGGCCACTGCATCAATAATCCGGCATTTCTCGCCGGCGGGGAGAGCATTAACTCGCTGCTTGACTTTGCTCTGGTCGGTCTGGCTATTTGGATGGTTCAAGCGTTGCACATGAAGACTGTAGTCAAGATACAGCTGTGCTTCTTGTTCGCGCTAGGGGGACTGTGAGTACCTGAGCTATGGCTTTCTCGAGCTTTGCTGCTGACATGGACACAGGGCTGGAGTCTTCGGTTTCGTCAAGATTGCCCAGGCCTTTGACAATAGCTGTAAGTACCTAATTCAAATGGATTGTTATCAAATTAATTTAGTTCATTATTAATCAACTCCATTACAGATGTGAATAATATCCTCGACGCAATATGGGCAACTATCCAGCAAGCATGTGGAGTCATCTGCTGCTGCGCACCTATGTGTAGATCCCTTCTTCCCAGACTTAGTCTATACGAAAGGTTTAGGGTACTCAGTACCCGGGTGTTCAGCACTAGGACCCAAGATCACCAGCGACCTAGTCAGACGTCGAACCTACACGAAACCCCAGAAAAGGGGGCTGGTGGAAATTGGCGCCCTACAGAAAGCTGGATCCGACTTGAGAGTAACGATCAATCAAGCACTCGCGAACCGGCCGTGATGGAAATACCACATGAACCTCCGCCTACGTATATCTCGCACGTCTAAGAATACGTTTTCTGTCGCTTACCTATGTCTATGTTTCTAGTAAGAGGATGAATCTACTCCAATCCCTGACTCAAGCACCTCAACGTCTTAGAGTACTTTAAAACCAGTTCCCTTGGGTATTTACCTATGTGTTGCTGTGTATTTATACGTTAACCCCTGGTAAGGAAGGTTAGATAGGGGAATTTGATGGATTGTATCAACGATGTAGATCTTACTCTGAAGAACAGAATATTATGAGGATTAAAACTAGGTGTACGTCGTGATTAGGACACTCGATAGTGCAAAAGGCTGTATCTCGAGCTAAGACTCTCTTTCATCTGATGCACTCATGTATTTGAGCATGAAGATACTAATTAGCCCTAACCTAGTACAAGAAAGTCCAATTTCGTAATTGACAGCTCTATATAAGTACCTATATTATGATATTAACTACAATTGTAAGAATGCGACTGTATGAAGGTAGGTAGGTAGTTATATAAGTGGTGATTATATCAAATATTTACATATGAATCAATAGTAAAGCTTATTGATGATCTCTTCCGAGTTGATAAAAGCGCATCTCTCCTTTAGCTTCTGTACGGCTATTTCGGGCTTGGCTCCAGGCCCGTCAGTGGCTGAGAAGCCCTCGCTTGGCCCTCCCGCAACGAATACCGAGAACGTCCCGTCGGCATTGTCTTGGCCTCCCACAGGAAAAGAGGGTGTGAATCCCTCGAATGTGTCGTGGCCCTCAAGACCTGGCACCCCGCGACTTGTGAATGTCGACCATGACCGCGAGCCACGGCTCACAAGACTATAATCTTCGGGAGTGGGATTGAACGGGTAGTTAGAGACGTTGTAGTGTGATATGTTCCCGAAAATGTATGCGAACTCGGCCGTATGGATGGGGCCTAACCCCGACACACCATCTGTGTATTCTAAGATGGGATCTAGGATCGTCTGATTCCAGTCGTATAGATAGACGCTATTGCCCTTGGCTGCGAGCGCGGCTCCATAGTATACTGGCTCGCATACCATTAGGACATCTCGAAAGATGCGTGCTGTACGGTAGAATTCACTTGACAGGTTAGCTGTCGGGTTGGCGGCGAATTCAGAAGATGGATATAATGAAATTAGCTCGTCAAGATTGGCGTCGCTCACGGAAGACATATATGTCTGGAGGAAACTGCGAGTGTCCTGCGGGGTAGAGATACTGGTGTCTGTAAATAGGGTTAGGTCGTTCTCGCACCAACCCATCATGACCGTCACGTTAGCGAATCTCCCTTCGGCTATAAGTTGGGACGGTGGAGCGGGAAGAAAATCGCCATCGACGACTGGTAACCAGATGTCGCCAATGTTGTGAGCGATGTCAGACTGATGCGTCGCTGCTGATGCATTCAAGAGAGTACCCATGTCTAGATCCCGTAAACAGGCTACCGTATCTGGCGAATGTAGAGCAGTCGTGTTGCAATTAACATAATCC